TGTTCACTAACATTTCCTTCCATTTCTAACAACTATCTCCAACCACGCCTGGCGAGGTCAATTACAACCAAAATGTTGGATATTCTATTTTTGTCACATGAACAACGCCATTGTGTCGACGGCAAGATACAATCAGTGGAGTGCAAAGTGTTAATCACGACAGTCGATCACCAGGGAATTAATGTCCGCGTAATCGGTGTTGGGATATTCGTAAATCCGGATAATCGGTGCTCGGATAACGGACGTTCCATTGTAGTGTGTCATTTTCATCACGCCTCGGAGAAACTCCTGTTAGGTCACTATTCGCCCCGCTATAATTCCAAATTGTGTAGAACCTCTTCATCGCTGTTATAAGGTAATGAAGATTTAGAGTTTGCAGAATTAAAATGTATAAACTTTAAACATTAATTATAGTTATAGCTTGAACATGCAAAATCACTGTTACCCTCCTGATATAGTAACAACACACTTCGTATTTCTTCGATTGTCTTTATAAGGTAATGCAAATTAAAGATTATAGAATTAAAGTATGTAAATTTTCAGCATCAATCCCTTAAATGGGCTAAGCTTTTGTATACAATTTGACATTACAAAAATGGCCGACATGTCACTTCATTTTAATAATTTTATAAAAAAAAAAGAACATTTTATAGAGAGAGTATTCCTAGAAAAATAACTTAAGAAAGGGTCATGGTTAATACAGTGATGCTATTTAACGACAAAAATAAAAATATATACAGGGTGGGTCAATAAAGTTGCACCGAAAAACACTTTAAATGCATTTAAAGGGATTCATCGAATGAATGCAAATTGATTTTTTCATATCTTATCTATTCTGAAGGATCAAGGTAACCTTGAGTTTTTTCAAGATCAATGAATTTTTCCCCCTAGACCTTATCATATTTAGATCGTTGAATTCGCCTTTTTATCGCCTTGAATTCGCCTTTTGAAATTAATCATTATTTACAACGCAGCACTAACAAAACAAATTCATTGGCCTTGAAAAAACTCAAGGTTACCTTGGCATCTCAGAAAATATAAGATCAAATTAAGTTGCATCCAACTGATGACTCCCTTCAAATACAACATAATTCATTTAAAACGGTTTTTGATACTGAAAAATACACAGAATTATAAGTCGAGACAAATCGACGCTACGGTGATCAATATCATGAACCCACCTTGATCTTCCCTCCTGTCCGGTTATCGGTGCAGGTATTTAAAGATCAAAAAGCGTTTCGTTGCGTTCTTCCATTTCTGTCGGGAATTAACCGGTACATTTCCGAGTCACCATAAGTGGTCTCATTTCGGCCTGTGTGTACCGCCCACCCCCACCCGTTTCCTGTTTATAATGCACTTTTCGCGAGGGTGAACAGTTTGTCGATTTGTTTGCCGCGGCACAACAATTTCCCGGGGTCCATTATTGCACGGTATAATCGCGATCGTTCCACGTGTAATCGCGATTGTTGCACGTATGACCGATCGTCAATTGGTTCGTTGCTAACTGAAGCGTCAGGCCTTCGGGCGAGCGCGAAGCAATTACGCAATGCCCGCGCGATTGTAAGACATAAGCTGATCAAATGGTTGCCTGCATCCCTAACGGTGTGCTAGCCGGTAAAGCGGAATGATAACGAAATGAAGTCCTTTGGATCAAGTGTTAGACAGGAGGTTGTGGGAGAGTGGAGGGAGGGAACGCGTTGAATTCGTGGGTGCCGGATCTAGATACTGATACTTGAACGGGGTTGGTGTTAACGCTACGCGCAGTCGGAAATTTTAGGAAGCACTTAAAACCCGGTCATCATATCGTGTAATTAAAATTTAGAGCTACTTCTACGGAAAGCACGAAAGTTTGTATTAAAATATGATACGGTTAATCATTTACGATTAGAACGGAGTGGTTATGATACGAGTAGATTGCGGATGTTGGGTTAATTGTGGAAATGTGGAAACCGAGAAGCATTTCTCTACGTTACTGAAGATTCTGTCGAGTTTCAAATAAAGTAAAAAATCGGCATTAAGTTTTATTACACGGTTGAAAGTACGGAGTTTTAATCGTGCATTTTATTAATATACATATAAAGTCTGTAGACTCGATATGAGTTTAACGATGGATTGATGTAAATGGCAGTTGTATAATGTTAATACAGAATTTATTTTATTTAGTTTGTTCTAGTTACCAATGTTAAGCTAACAGAGTACGAAATTAAATTATTACACCAAAACGCCGTGTCTAGGCGGTACAGTTTCTAAAGTATGTCGTTGCGTTCGTCGTATTGTACATTTGTTCTTTCGATTGAAACGAAAGTCTTTTAACGGTGGCGTTATGTTACGGAAAGAGTTGCAAAGGCAAGCCAGTGCTCAGTTAGACTTTTTAAAATTAACATTCTGCAAAGAATTTCAGAAGTAAAATCTGTCGATTTATATTACATCGAACTCTGTCTTGCGTTATGCAAACCTTAAATGGAATTGTTTTTAACTTGAATTCGTAAAAATGTAATTTGCGAAACGCAATTTCTTTCCTATCTTACAGCGAAGCATTATTTTCAGACGTGGGAACACATCTAGTCCAGAATTTATGAAATAACATTAAATCGTCTAAGCCAGCAATGTTGTCATTAAAGAAGAAATGCTCCTTTCCACTAAATGTTCTATCCATCATCAAGAAGCATTCATTTAGAAGATAAGTTATTCGTCTTCCACATATTACACAAAAGCAACTTCAGGCTCTCTCGCAAAGCAACTTCATCGATCCACTAAAACTTCTCTAAAACATAGAGACTTGAACACTCACATCATAGCATTACTCGTTAGATTATTTATTCAATACAGTTCCTAAACGAATCGACTGTAGTCAGGTCGAATCTAATGCTACGTGTCGACCTGACAGTTTTGCTTTAGAGAGTAGAACTCTCTAGTACACACAGCATTCTTTTATATAATTAACGAGAGTCCACTTCCAAGTGGACGCGCAACATAATGGCTGTTCTCAAGTATTACTTTCCCATGAACACGTAGCATGAGACCTACTTTCAAACGTAAGTTTGACATGAAAATGTAGCACAAGACATCTCAACAGTAACACACCTCGCGTGGACACAATTCTTGAATGTAGCTCTCACATCCACACATAAAACATACTTTTAACAGTAGCTCTCAAATAGACACACAGCATAAGATCGAGCCACAAAAGTAGCTTTTTCACGTGGATCTGTAGCACAATATCTACTCTCAAAAATATCTTTCACGTAGACAGGTAGCAAACCATATATTTTCAAAAATGACTCACATAAGCATGTATCCTAAGATCTACACCTCAAAAGTAGCTCTTGCGCGGACAGAGAACATAAGAGCTCCTTCAGAGATACCTCTCAAACGAATACGTAGCGTAACATCTACTCCCAAAAATAGCTCTTACGTGGACACAAAAGGTAAGACCTACTTTCAAAGGTAGCTCTCACGCAAGCACACATTACATAAGACCTATCCTCAAAAATATCGATCACGTGGACACGTAGCATCAAAATCTCACTCTCAAAACTAGCTCCCTCCTACGCGGTTACGCAGCATAAGACCATCGGAATCTGATCCGCACCAGCGGAAGAACACATTGTTCCCTCGGAGTTCCTCCGACCCAGCCACGTTTATAATGACATTCCCGTCTGTTTACGATACGACCGGCTCCGGGAGGGCCGTCTCGATTCGCGGATCGATCGAAACGGTTCGTTGATTCCCGCACAGGTGCGCTACCCAGCCACAGCATTACCTGGCTGCAAGCCTGGGCCACATCCGCCGTAAAGATCGACTAGCGGCGCTCTTTATTTTCACGGGGAACAGAGATGAACGGGCCAGAAGTGGGGATGGAAAACCCTAGTATCTGCTCGTTCCGAATGCGATCTCATCAACGATTAACAACCACATCGAGGATTCAGCACGGTCTCTACGTAAAGCTACCTCGAAGGGAGCTAAAATTGTAGACGAATGTCCTGCTCCACTTTCGGTTCCTCTATTACAATACCATCTTCAGCGGTGCTCATTGAGCCTTTCTTTCCTTTCCATTCTAATACACGATGAGACAATCATTTCTTCGTCGTGTTCCTGGCTCCTCGAACTTTAAACACTTTGTTACCTATGGTCTGTTTTTCGAAAGAAGATGCCTGGGAGGTAGGCCTGGTGGGGATCTAACGCGAGCTGCATATTTCGTGCGACTTTATCACGGTCTAAATGCCACTCTGTGTCTCTTTCCATCCTCCGGCACTTCGGCACACAACTTCCTTCTTTACCCTACGATTTCCACGTGTAGTGTTTAATAACCTACGTATTAATTTAATCCCCTTTTAATATGTTGCTGAATATTTGGGTACAATACATCCTTTATAATACAGTCTGGTCAACATTCTCCGCCATTCCAATGGATGATTGATGGGCGCGTGCCGAACGGAGTCTCCACTACTTGAGATTGTAGCTAGGTTCTTCTCGAGATGTTTGTAATACGTGCGGTGGAGACAGACGACCGTAGACGAAGTCGCACGTCGACGGTCGAACGTTATTGACCAAGATGCGAAGAGTGAGAGAGACACAAGCACCGAAAACGTGTCGCGATCGCGACAACACCGCGAAAAATCGGGTCTACCTCCCAGGCATCTTCTTTCGAAAAACAGACCATAGTCTTGCGATTAATTTTCTCCGAATATTTCGTCCCTTCACATCAGTCCAGCTTATATCACGACCATCCCTACTAGTCGGACCATTCTATTGACCGGAAATCAGGTGTTTCTTTCTCGAATTGTTAGCCTCTGTCGTTTCTATCCAGCGTTTCTGTCTGCTCGAGGATCCCTCGGCTCGACTGGTCCGGGATCAAGCTGCGCAGAGGGTCTATTTCTCTCTCTCTCTCTCGCTCTTGCTATCTCGCTGTCTACGGGTACACGGTTTCTATAAGCTTGTCGAGCGGATCGCTCGATGTTTACGGAACGGGGACAGTGTTTGACGGAAATTCCGACCGGTCATTTCCGTCTCACGAAGATGTTCTCGAGCAGCTCCTTGGTGATCAGACGATGGGGCCGCGTCGGGCTCTCCGTTGGTCTCCCGTACAGCCGGCTGTTGATCGCGTACAACTTCGGGCTGAGCTCGCATCTCACGTTGAACCACCAGTCGCAGACGAACACCGCCTGGCTGAATTGCGTCCCGTTCGGGCACAAAAACGTCGCTTGACGGCCGTCTATGTCGCAGTAGTGCCACGCCTGGCATCTCGTCTCAACGTCCGCGAAGAAACCCGGGTACGGTTGCTCGTCGCAGTAGAAAGTAGGGTACTTTGCCTAGCACCGGATAGTCCGTACCTGGCCGACCTGCGAATTTAAGAATGCTGTTAGTTTATAGTTTTTCGTTGCGATCGGTTAGATTGTTTGATAGACTTTTGGTTCTTTTCTGGGGGAAGAGTTGAATTTTTGTTTTAAGGAAATATTTACAGGAATGAAGTTTGGCAGCAATCTGTAGATTGGAAAATGTGAAAAGGAAAGGGAGAGGGAGCGTTTCGTCCTGGGCCTGCTAGTAGACTCGTCAGTAAGGCTATCTATGTAGCAGACTCTGTCTTAGACGCGGGGATATACGATGGTCGGTTAAGGACGTATATATACGAACGAGGAAGGCTTCAGGCAGTTGCGGGAAAGGTAGACTCTGGTAGACCTCTGATGGTGAATGTAGGAAGAAGTGCCGCCACAGAAGGAATAAATGATCATTAGACTTGGATTTTATAGGTGCATAGTACACATGCGTTTTGAATGTAGTAAAGATGAGGATAGTTCAGTAATATCATATTCAGTATTTTTAATTCAAACAAATTTCTTATTTACTTTTAACCTCGTGGTCCAGGTTTGTGTTATACCGAACTTCATAAATTATTGGTTTCAACTTAAGCCCAGGTGAAATGGTCTTACCAGTAATTAGACTTCAGAGTACCTGTACCATTTGATGCAGGCACGAAAATAACAGTAAGGCAGAAGATGAAAGATCCCTTAATAGAGACGGTCAATTTGTGTTTAATTGTTCGTTTCCTGAATTTCATCTGAAAAATCTGTATATTTAAAAATCTACAGTCCAGTAATAACCCATCGAAATATCATCATCTTGCTTCAGAACTGATTTACAGGCTAAATTTATTTATCACTGCTTTCGTTGCAATAAACTAATTCTACTCTAGAGCGTTCTATAGCCCTACATCCAGTAACCTTATTTTAAGACATTGTTAACAGTATGTATCTTCTTTAAACCTTTTTCACAACAAAACAGTTCCGAAACCTATAAAGAAACGCGATTACCGTCCCTTTAGGCCAATAACATTGAAATTTTTCTGTTTCTGGACCGTTATTGTAATAATCGTGGTAATAACCAATGATTCGAACATCTAAGCACACACGTCGTTCAGGTACAGGACACGGTTATAGAGCTGACAGTCGGGCGACGAACGTCGATACATGGCAGGGCGGCTGCTTTGTACAGGTAATACAGGTGTCAGGTGAGCCGAGCACGTACGGTGCATCTCGCCCCTTGGCATTTCCAGCGATTAATCGAGGATACATCGAGCCGCCGTGGCAGTCTACGGACCGGAGCTTTGCTCACGTTCCAGTCTATCCGTTCGCGGGAATCGAGCAGCCAGAAGCGGGGGATCGTTTCTCCTAGCTGGGCGACGATCAACGGGGATGTGCCCCCTCCCGCCTTGTCTTCGCCAAATATCGCCGGAATCGTCCTGTATCCCCTGTTCTATCGTTTAATGAGATTTCCGCCCGTAACTCGGATTCCGAACACCTCTACTTCACCTGAATAATCGTTTCTCCTGTTGGGAAACTTGCTATTCTGTCGGATAGGTGGAATTAAACAACTGTCCCGGTCATTACACGCGTGACTTTACCGTCTTTGCTCGTCTTTACGGCGGAAGGTTCATCTTCTATCGGTGATTCTAGGGACTACGTGAGTGTAATGAAAAATATGTTGTGGTATGAATAAGCAGGTGAAGGTTATATAGGCAGAAACATTCTAAGAATAAGATCAATCCTTTTTTCCTATTATTTTTGAAGATTTTTTTATTGTAGTGTTAGTGGGTTTCTGGAGATTTCAAGGCCCCTTATATTTTTTACGTCCCTGGTAGAATAGCAGATGTTTTTGAAGATTCCAATGGCCTACAGTACAAGGTCATTCGGTATTAACCCTTTTTCGGATTATGGGTGCCACAAAGACCCCACCCAAATCTTTAAAGTAAGCACACTTCAATGCGCGTTTATATGATTATTTAAAAATTTATGTAATCGTCTATTGTTTCGTCGTGTTTCTGAATGTTGCAAAACAAATTCACTTGCACTTATCAGTTCTAGAAGTAATGGTTCTAGAAACCTATTTACGTTTGGAAATTCCTATAAGGGTTAAATAAAGGATCAAAACGTTGATTCTTACGTCGTAAGAGGTGTTCAATGTGGCATAGGTTTGGGGCGATGCAACATTACAATTAAGTGTCGAATTCCTAAAGTCTATTTCGTTTCTTTATTTAACGTCGTATTACCCTCTAATATAGGTTGTTAAAATCGTCTAAATCTAAACACCCACTATTCTGCTAGCGACAAAAGAAACATATCATATCATTTAACACACTAGAAGTAACTTTGAAATCTCCGAAAACCTATGTACAAAAAGATTATTACTAACATATCACGGCCTCCTTTTCACCGTACATCTGCAAACAACGTTATTCCATGCGTCTAAAAATAATAGAGACATTTCGGGTGGTCAAAATTTATCCGTCCACCCTGTAGAATGTCATCCACCGCCCAAACGTGCCACTCATTCCGCGACGTGTCCTCCGCAACAACATCAAGCAATCTGCCCAAGAGAATATGCATCGCCACGACGAAGAACAACGACGGACCATCGTAGAACCTCGAAAGTTTCGTCGCGCGATTTCGAGTTAACGATCGCGTTATCCCGGATAAGTCGGTAATTACATGTCTCTCGCTTTTCAAAAGGGTTAATCAGACCGGGCGTCGCGGATTTACGGCGGCACGCCCGTAAATACGGGGGCGCGAGATCAGGCCCCACGACACCTGGGGAAACTTTGTCCTGTCGTAAAAATGTTTCCCTCCCTCCAACCTCTCTTGTGTTTTGCAAGACTCTCTGCTTGTCGTCCGCTTCGGTTGCGTGCGAAATTTCATTCGAAACCGTCCGACCGTGCTGCCGAAATTAGACGAACAACAGGCATTCCCGACGAAGACATTCCTCTCGTTGCACTTTTATAGTAACTGCACCTCTCCATTTCACCCCCTCCCTCCTCCGAGTCCTCCTACGCGTCATCCCCCCGTGACGTTCTCTCGCGAACCGTAACTCTCTCGTCCCGCCATTTTTTCCCCTGCTCAGGTGCGTCTTTTTCGGGTATATTGCGTCGATTGCTCGAGAGGGTACCATGATCTCGCGACTTTATTTCTTGTAAAATTCAGCATATTCTTCGTTCAGCGACACAACATTCGCGGGAATGTAGTAAATTAGAATATACCGGGAGTATATTATGATCAAAAGTAGAAAATACAAAACTCCGTTAATTTTCATTTCCATAAAATTGATCTTAACCCTCATCCGTCCCTCGTGTCAATTTGACACATTTTTCCCTTAAGAAATTATACAATTCTGTCATCTATAGGTAAATTTAGCTGAAACTCCGTGACTTTTATTTTAGAGAAATTGAAAATTTAACCGTTTATCTCTTCGGTACATTAATTTCTTACCACTGTTTTAATTTAACATCGAGGGACAAATTAAGTTGGGAACATGAGGGGCGGTTGGGGGTTAAGGATTATGTATCTGTGGCTCGAAGTGTGACCTATACTTCGTTCGAAGCAATTAGAGGACAAGTATACCTCGCGTTTAAAAACTCCGTTACGTTACGAGAACAGCCGGCTTAAGTATTATACAGTCTCGATGCGGGAACGAAAGAATATCGAGCGGTCTTAAAAGCATTAGAAAGGAAGCGGAAGGAGCCTGAAAGTCTCGTCGTCGTCGGGCTCGGGTACGACTGACGGCCCATTATTATAAGCAAGTCGCGAGTCGATGAAATCCCTTGGCATATATTCGTTAATGGACGTGCGTCGGTAACGAGAAACATTATTGGGTAGGCGCATTACAGGCGAACGTAGTATCGCGGGGGCTATAATCTCAGCAAAGAAGTCGCAGCAGCAAGAAGCTTTCCCTTGCGAGTCCCCGGCCGAGGAATGAAAGAATCGAAGGAAGACGGGGATACGCAAACGATGGTTGAGAAGAGACACGGCTCCCCGTGTACTCGCATGCGAGCTTTTATAATTGTCCGCGATGATAGTAACGAGCGCTAGGTAGGCGATCAAAAGAAGGTAAAGGTATCTATTATCGCTGGGACTGGTTAGGGGGAAATTGTTGGCATGAAGACAGGGAGAAATAATCGGTAGGAAAAATATGCTTTGATTCGCGTACACGAGATTCGCTTGTTTATGCCAGCCAGGGAATCTGTGAACGGAATGCTGTTCGATTGATCGATTTGGTGGTAACGTTGGCGATTGATTTAAGAAATCGATCGAGTTTTATGGACAATTTTTCATTACGTTAGTCTGGTCCTCTTGCACTTAATGCACTTTCTATTATGTCCCTTTTTCATTTATTATATTCTGCGTTAGACTTTGAAAATAACAGAATGTGTAAAATATTATACAAAATTCTGTCTGGGAAAAATTGTAGGATGGTAGACACTTGTGAAGTACAGGAATAATGTTTGTTAATATTCATCTGTAGTGTACTGTTCAGAAAGCTTGAATCCCCGCGAATTAACTTGAACTTAACAATTCGTACGCAGTGTATTACATTGTTAATTACATAAAAAGGACATAGATTTAATTTCTAACCAGTAATATGCATATAATCTTGTGAAAATACTCAGCAGTAACCAAATGATCTAAATACTCGGTATAGAACTCGACACGTAAATATCACTATTTATAATAGCAAAAAGAGATATACTTCATCTCAAAATTTTCTCAGTAGCAGAATATCGACCACTCAATCTGTTAATGGACTCCAAGTAGAACAGGTGTTCCATAACAAATCACCAGTCAGTTGCAGCCGTCCACGCAAACTGCCCTATAATTATTTTACCTTAGTACTGTACAGCCTCCCGTATCCGAACTATTCGGGTGACATAAGTGTTCGGATAAAGGAATTTCGGGATAATAGAACAATCATGTTTCTGATACTAAACTCCATGTCAAAAATTCACAGTTTGTTCAAATATTAGGTTTATAAAAATTAAACACAATGTTAGGTTTCATGCTGAATCGATCAGATC